TCTCGCTCACTCTCTCTCGCTCTCTCTCGTTCTGCACGCAGCCCTTCTCGCAGTCCGACGGCCTCCGACGGGTAGCGGCTCCTTTCTCCCCCGTCTGCGCTGCCGACATGACTAAGAAGAGAAGGAACAACCGTGGCCATGTGCAGCCGGTGCGCTGCACGAATTGTGCGCGCTGCATGCCCAAAGGATAAGGCGATAAAAAAAATGTAAATGAAAGATTTAACAAAATATTTCTCACTCTACTCTCCTTACCCCCCCCCTCTCTCTCTACCCTAACTCTTCCTACTCTGTGTCGCTCTCTCGCTCTCTTTTTTTAACTACGACATGTGCTGCTGTCCTGCTGGGGCCCAGGCTCCTCGTGTAAAACCACGGAACGTTGTGGAAGCAATCAACGTCGAAAGATCTGAAAAAAAGGAGAGAGGGGGAGAAAGAGAGGGGAGAGAGAGGGGAGGTGGTGTAGCCAGGGGGAGAGAGAGAGTGCAACCAGATGAGGGGAGCGAGGGGTAGAGATGAGAGGGTGTAGAGACAGGGGACAGCGGAAGGAGGGGGTGGAGAGGGAAAGGAAGGGGGGAGAAAGAGGGTGGCGTTACAGTCCAACACCACCGAGGTAGGGGTTGTTTTTGCTGGACAATGAAGACACACGCACTTACACACATACACACACACATACATACACATATATACACATATACACAAAGACAAAGACAAAGATCTCCATATAGCCTGGAACAGACTGTTGGGGCAAGTGCTGTTAGCGAGCACCTATGAAGGCCGCAACGGTACACGAGGGGGTGGGTGGCCAGCACCACGCCCGACCGCCTTTGTCTCCCTAGTGGCAATGTTTACACACCTCACCAGGTACTCATTTGAGGCTGAGTCGACCTAGGGGAGGCCCGGGACCGGTTCAGATAATCGTCACTGGTGTTGGCCGTGAGCGGGAATCGAACTCGTGTCGCCGGATTCATAGCGCAGCGCGCTAACCGCTACACTACCGCTCCCACTATATATACACACACACACATACACACACATACACATATGTAATATTGTAAATTACGGCGGGAGACCACTTGACGGGTAGCACACTTTATTAACACTTTCTTTAGCCACAATAACACGTGTGGCCAACTACAGCCTACGCTACGCGTTCCACCCAGCTACACACCCACGGGCTCTCCAGCCCCGTAGCTTCCAGGGGAACTCACAGACCCACCCCGGCTGGGGTATGGGTCACGACCACTGGGTCCTGCAGCCCGGCCCTCACAAGGACGTCCGGCCGCGGGTCCCAAGATCCCGCCTCTGAGCCACACAGGGTCCCGGCCCTTACAAGTGTAATAAAGGACTCGTTCACTGTGTCTGTCTCCGTGTCCTTTATTCGGGTTCTTTACAACTTGTCCCACACGGCCCTCGCTCTGAGCCTCTCCGCTTGGCAGCTCGATGCTGCCTTTGCTCCCGTAGCCTCTCTCCACTCTGATGCAGCTCCGCTGCTGGTTCCCTCGGGCAGGCCTCCGGCTGCCCTCACTGCAGCTCCACCGCTGCTCCCCGTTCCTCCGTGCTCGGTCACCGCTGGCCGACGGTGCCGAGTCTTACTGTGTGTGTGGTGATCTCGCCACTCTCCAACCTCCGCCCTGCGTGGCCTCACTCTATCTCTATCTCCAACTCTCTCCTGTCTCTTCCGGTATCTCTCCCTTAAGACCTCATCCCTCTCTCCCACGTGACCTAACTCCTCCCCCCGTGACGTCATATCCGCGAGGCCGATTACGCCCGCATTACACAAGGACAGCGGGGCTAGGGGTCTCAGGGCCCTATCTCTTCCTCCTCCGTCTTCTGTCTTCACTGAGTACCAACTCCCCGAGCGCCCGCGCGCATCGCCTTTCATAGTCCTCCGCTCCCGAGGGGGCGGAGCCTATGCGGACCGCGATGTAAGCACCCACTCTAGTTGACCAATCACCACGCGCTGCCACACGATCCCTTTTGCCAGCGCGTGTCACCACTACATAGCCAATCACCACGCTCTGCCACACGATCCCTTACTGCCAGCGTGTATCACCAATACATGGCCAATCACCACGCGCTGCCACACGATCCCTACTGCCAGCGCGTATCACCACTACACATACACACACGTACACACATACATACACACATACACACACACATATACACACATATACACACAAATACACACACATACAGACACATACAGACACACACATACAACAACAACAACAACAACAACCGCCATTCGCCACTAAGTGGCGGTGACGTCACCACGATGCTTGTGCCAGGCCAAGTGCACCTTGAGGCCACGTGAAGTGTCGAAAGCCCGCTGGCAGGAGGTCACGGGGCAGACCCAGGTGCCACTGGTCGACTGACCGAGATGACCGAGATGACTGGCTGATGCACCACCTGTGCCCCCTACTGTGCCAACTTGCTGTGCTTTAGCCACCCGGCGCTCCGCTCGTTGTTGTGAGCGTCGCTCCTCCGCCCTCCGTTGTTGTTGGAGGGCGACTGCCTCCAACTGCCCAGTAGCGTCCTTCACGAGCCTCCTCCACTGAGGCCGATCTTGACACCGCTGGTACCAGTCATCGGCAAGTCCACTCAGCTCCATGTCCTCCTGTACCACATCACTCCATCTCTTCTCCAGCCCGTGCCGCGCCCGTCTAGCCCCCTCGATCCGGCCGAACAAAAGCTGTTTAGGCATGCGGTGGCTGGGCATGCGGGCTACATGACCCAGCCAACGCAGCCTTGCCTGCCGGAGGAGCTCACTGATGGGACTTTGCCCAGATCTTTCAAGGATTTGTGAGCTCCTCACACAATCCAGCCTGGTTAAACCCAGGATGGATCGTAGGCAGGCCAGCCTAAATGTTTCCAACCGGCGAAGATGCTCCACCAGGGGGGTCCACGTCTCGCAAGCGTAGAGAAGGGAGGGAATGACCGTGGCCGAGAAGACACATACACACACATACAGACACACACACATACATACACACATACAGACACATACACACATTCATACACACACGCACACTTTCACCCTCCCTACCTTTAACACAGCACATCAGCCCACCCTCATTCTTTTAAAGCAAGAGCACTTGAGTTCACTCCGAACTAAACTATGTTTTATTCTACCAGGTAAGGCTCCGCTGAGCTCATCACAGATGATAGCTCAACGCCGTGGGCTTATCATCATCATCGCTTGGAATTTTAAAGCAGCCAAATAGTCTAAACGCCGTGATGTTCATTCTGAATGTGGAGCGAAAAACCGCAGGACCAGAAAAACAAAATCCACGCGACCACGAGGAAGAGAAAGAGAGAGAGTGAGTGAGAGAGTGGGCGAGATAGTGAGCGAGAGGTGGGGGTTTACATAAAGCAAAGTTATAAAAAAAAATCTAAAAAAATTACGAAATGATGAACGAAGCAAAGTGCCGACTACACCGAGCCTCTTCTTGTTTCCACTGATCGTAAAAAAAAGAGAGTGGGGAGAGAGAGAGGGAGAGAGTGGGCGAGAGAGTGAGCGAGAGGTGGGGGTTTACATAAAGCAAAGTTATTTTAAAAAATAAAAAATATATACGAAATGATGAACGAAGCACCGAGCCTCTTCTTGTTTCCACTGATCGTAAAAAAGAGAGAAAGGCACGCAAACTCCAAATATTCAGCAGGCGTCGTCATGGTCGAGATCGAACACGCGACCTCCTGTATACCAGGCGAGGGAGTTGACATCTTCTAGCCAACGGGTCACCCACTGTGGATGTCAGAACGCTGAGATCCCGGGATCAAAGTACGTTGGTTAAAATCGATAACTCCCTCCCCCCCACCTCTCCACCCCTTGCAGTGTGAATGGGTTCATCCCAGTTGAGTCTGAATAGCAGGTCACGTGATGGTGGTGGTGGTGAAAGTGTGGAAATGGGGAGCGGTGGTGCGGCGGTTAGCGCTACGCTACGTTACAAACCGCGCTACAACCCGAGTTCGATTCCCGCTCAGGGCCACGAACACCTCCTCCCCTAGGTTTGCTCAGCCTCAAATGAGTTTTTGGCGTGTCGTGTAGTTAACATCACCACTGGGGAGACAAAGGCGGTCGGGCGTGGTTGCTGGCCACCCACCCCCGCGTGTGCCTCTGCGCCGACCTTCATTGGACGCCAACATCACTTGCCACAACTGTCTATTGAAGTAAACTTAATTTGGAGCTTTCGTGACTTCAGGAATTACTCTTTAGTTCTTTTCGGTAAAGTCACGTATAAAGAGAAAATAATAAATTAAATACTAGCATACGACCTTTCGATTGCAACACAAGCAATCATCATCAGGTATAAATGAAATATAAACACAAATCTAGTATACTTAGAAATGTAATGTAATACAACAGAGAGTCGGATAACATAACAGTCAACACCCTACCTGGTTGATTGCGTTCTTCCTGAGAATGCTAAATTTGAGAGAGAGATAAAACACAGAATCAGAGCCATATAGACAGACACATAAGCAGAGACAGATATCACAGAGATACATATAGAGAGAGACATACATAGGCATCTATGTATGTCTCTCTCTCTATGTATCTCTGTGATATCTGTCTGCTTATATGAGAGAGATAAAACAAAGAACAAGAGACATATAGACAGACATATAAGCAGAGACAGATATCACAGAGATACATATAGAGAGAGACATACATAGGCATCTATGTATGTCTCTCTCTATGTATCTCTGTGATATCTGTCTGCTTATATGAGAGAGATAAAACAAAGAACAAGAGACATATAGACAGACATATAAGCAGAGACAGATATCACAGAGATACATAGAGAGAGACGTACATATGCACACATTGAAGGCTATACGGGGGATCTTTGCTTTTGTGTGCGAATGGCTCCAAGTGGGGCCAGGGTGTGGGGGAACGCTGTGTCCTCGGTCAGCACAGCGCAAAGCCACCCACCCCACCCCACGCACCGCCCACTCTGATTCTTAAGCAGCAACGCAAACGGGAGTTCACCCACAGACTCACCCAACCCCTTTAGCTGTGAGGCACCGTGGCCTGTGTCGTGTAGGCGAGGTCTCCATCCGCTCTGGGCTCTCAGTTTGCCGGCGTCGGTGGTGGGGGGGGAGTTTGGCATCGCATCGCGCCACCGTTGAGCCACAAGGCGGAGGCTGTGGGATCTCAAGCGTCGGGGTTGGTTCGTCGTCTGCGTTAAGGTGGTTCATTCTTGTTCAGATGTTCACGCGTGTCGGGGCATTCACCAGCGTTCATTTGTTCAACCGCGTTCAGGTTTCTCACCCGTGTCAATTGTTCATCCATGCGAGGTGTTCATGCGTGTTCAGGTGGTTCATGCGTGTGCAGGTGGTTCATCCACGCCCAGCTGTTTATCCTAGTGGGCACGCAGTGGACTGTGAACTGCACTACGAACCCGGCGACCCGAGTTCAATTCCCACTCAAGGTCACCGACTCCAGTGACGATTATCTGCACCGGTCTTGGGCCTCCCTCTAGGTCCACTCTGCCACAAAATGAGACCCGGGTGCGGTGGTGTGTAGTAAAGACCGCCAGTGGGGAGACAAAGGCGGCCGAGCGTGTTGCTGGCCACCCACCACTTCGTGTGTCACAGTGCCGGCCTTCACAGGTTCTCGCAAACAGCACTTGCCCCATATCCTTTGGTTCTTTCGGTAAAGTAACGTAGATATAAGAAATATAAAAATAAAAATAAAGCGAATACAACGAAACCCACAACCTCCTGTATACCAGGCGAGGTATTTAACACATCCTAGCCACTGTGGTTTCACGGTGTATAAGTCAGAGAGCTGAGATCCTGGGTTCAAAGTAGGGTGGTTAAAATCGATAACTCCCTCGCTCCACCTCTATCTCCCGAGCAATGGGAATGGGTTCATCCGAGTTGAGTCTGTGATCAGCTGATCATCTGGTGGTGGTGGTGGGGTAAAGTGTGGATATGCCCACCTCCTCCAACGTTATTAAGTTGTTAAGCCAGCCGGCTAGGATTGGGCAACACTTAGCAAACGATTCACCCAGGCATCTGGAGTTGACAGACTGATGATGTAAGTAGCAAAACGTGCTCATTGGCGGTGCAGTGGAAGAATGACAAACTATGGGTCTATGTGAGTCTACGGGTCTCTGTGTGGTGAGTCTGTGGGTCTCTGTGTGAGTGAGTCTATGGGTCTCTGTGTGGTGAGTCTATGGGTCTCTGTGTGGTGAGTCTGTGGGTCTCTGTGTGATGAGTCTATGGGTCTCTGTGTGGTGAGTTTGTGGGTCTCTGTGTGAGTGTGTCTATGGGTCTGTGTGGTGAGTCTGTGGGTCTCTGTGTGGTGAGTCTCCGGGTCTCTGTGTGGTGAGTCTGTGGGTCTCTGTGTGAGTGAGTCTATGGGTCTCTGTGTGGTGAGTTTGTGGGTCTCTGTGTGAGTGAGTCTCCGGGTCTCTGTGTGGTGAGTTTGTGGGTCTCTGTGTGAGTGTGTCTATGGGTCTGTGTGGTGAGTCTGTGGGTCTCTGTGTGGTGAGTCTCCGGGTCTCTGTGTGGTGAGTCTGTGGGTCTCTGTGTGAGTGAGTCTATGGGTCTCTGTGTGGTGAGTTTGTGGGTCTCTGTGTGAGTGTGTCTCCGGGTCTCTGTGTGGTGAGTCTGTGGGTCTCTGTGTGAGTGAGTCTCCGGGTCTCTGTGTGGTGAGTCTCCGGGTCTCTGTGTTCTGAGTCTATGGCTCTCTTTGTGGTAAGTCTACGGGTATTTGTGCGAGTCTACGGGTCTCTGTGTGAGTCTATAGGTCCCTGTGTGGTGAGTTTGTGGGTCTCTGTGTGATGAGTCTATGATGGGGTTCCTTTCACCGCCGCATCTCGGAACCCACGCGGGCGGCTCGGCATTAACTTTATTTACAGAGAGGCGCAGTTCAAGCTGCGCCTTTGTTTTTCATAAAGACGTTTTTATTCACCGCAGAGAACCGTACCGACACGACGGCCACTCCACTCTCCAATAGTTGACGCAAAAACTCCGCCAAAGAAACACGGCAGTGGTCGCCTCGGTACCGATAGTAACATATGAACGTCAACAGAACGTACCGTGTGCATCATCGGAACAGAACCGGAATAAAACCTGATGACGTACACATATGCATGCTTAATTGGAAACAGGAAACATTTTAATTTGGCTAAAAAACGGTTTGGACTGCCAGGCAACAAACGTTTCTATCACGTGACCGAGTAGGTGGGAATGTGCTGCCCTCTGCTGTGAACTTTAAGAAACGATATTACCAACACTACAAAGACAAAGATTCCCCGTGTAGCCTTAACAGACTGTTTGGCCAAGTGCTGTTAGCGAGTAGCAGCGCCTATGAAGGGGGTTGGTGACCAGTACCACGCACGGCCGCTTTTGTTTCCCCAGTTGCGATGTTTTTACGCACTGCTCCATTTAATTATTTGAAGCGGGCACCAGGACTGGTTCAGATGACCCTCATTGGTTTTGACCGTGAGCGGAAATTGAACCTGGGTTGGTAGCTCCACGCGTTAACCGCTGCACTACCGCTCCCCTGCACACACTCACCTTCACACAAACATACAAGGGGGCTTCCATTGGCAGTGTGCAGCTTGGGAGATCGCTGATGAACTCCAATGTATACAATACTCTGACTCAAACCCAGGTCTCCTGTAATTAACAACGAAGTACTCGGGTTCAATAACGGGGCAGACGACTCAACCAACTGCTTTTCTTCCTCCTCACCTGCTCCCATCTCTCCCAGCGTCCTACTTGCTGAGCTGCTGGTATGGAGAGGCCCAAACTGTTGCCGGTGCATGGAGTCGCCATGCTGGACTTCATAGCGAGGGAGTGGAGCCTGGTGGAGTCGTTTAAAGCCAGGCCCGGAGACCTCCTGATAGCAACTTACCCCAAGGCGGGTGAGTATTAACAGAATCAGCAGCACCACCATCAGCACCATCATCAGCATCACTACCACCTTCATTATCATCGTCATCATCACCACCACCGCTGCCACCACATTCACCACCTTCATAATCATCGTGACAATCGCGATGACAATCATAATAATCTTCATCATCATCACCATCAATCAGAATAAGCGTGATCATCATTATTATAATCACCATCACCACTACCTTAATACGGTAGCCATTATAATCGCCGATACCTTTATCATTACCACGAGCACCTTCACCACGATCACTGCTACCACCATTTTCTTAATCACCATCATCACCACTACGATATTTATAAACATCCTAACGACCACCATAATCACCGCCACCTTCATCACCAACACCACCACCACCTTCACCACTTCTACCATCTACAACAACACCAACCGCCAAGAAGTGGTGGTGACGCCACCACGGCGCTTGTGCCAGGCTGATGATGGTGAAGTGTCGCATGCCCGCTGGCAGGTCACAGGACAGACCGAGCAGGTGCCATGGGTTGACTAAATGATATGACTTGCCATTGCACCACGTGTGCCCCCTGCTGTATCAACGTGCTATGTTTTAGCAACCCTGCGCTCCGCTCGTTGTTGTGAGCGTTGCTCCTCTGCCCTCCGTTGTTGCTGGAGGGCGACTGCCTCCAACTGCCCAGTAGCGTCCTTCACGAGCCTCCTCCACAGAGGCCGAACCTGACACCGCTGGTACCAATCATTGGCAAGTCCACTCAGCTCCACATCCTCCTGTACCACATCACTCCATCTCTTCTCTAGCCCGTGCCGCGCCCCTTTAGCCCCCTCGATCCGGCCGAACAAAAGTTGTTTAGGCAATACGGAGCTATTCATTGAACACCACAACTACCACATTCATCATCATAACCACCATCATGACAACCACCACCTTCATCACCGCCACTGCTACCACCATAATCACCATCATCACCACTATCACGACATTCAATATTATCATAACCACCACCATCATCACCACCATCTTCATCGCCTTCATCACAAACACTGCCTCCATCATCATCAACAGCACAACTACCACATTCATAATCATCACCACCTCCATCTTGACCCCCCCTCCGCCCACCCCCTACCTCTCTTAGGTACGACGTGGATCCAGGAGATCGTGGATCTGATTCAGAGTGGAGTAGACGTGGAACACTGCAAACGTGGCCCCGTGTACGAGAGGATCGTCTTCATGGAGTGGACAGGCTTGAATGTCATGACGTCTCGCAAAGGTGACAGCAGCAGCGAACTAAACTCAACTATTTATGATAATTGGTTCTTTACCCTTCTATCTGGCAACAAAACTGACACCTTTTTGCAAGGAGTCATGTTTGCATAGACCGCAATACCTGCAGTCATAATACAAACAAAATAACATAACTCAACTATTTATCTTTTACTTTTACCAGGTGTAAGTCCCCCATTGAGCTACAAAGCTCTTTTCAGATATTACCTGGCCCACAGAGACCCATACTCATGGACCAACACTCAGAGGAGACCCATACTCAAGCACATAGACCCATACTCATAGACACCCACAGAGACCCGTACTCAGAGAGACCCATACTCATAGAGACCCATACCCATAGAGACCCACAGAGACCCATACTCATAGAAACCCACAGAGACCCATACTCATAAACACCCACAGAGACCCTGTACTCAGAGAGACCCATACTCATAGAGACCCACAGAGACCCATACTCATAGAGACCCCCAGAGACCCGTACTCATAAAAACCCACAGAGACCCATACTCATAGAGACCCACAGAGACGCATACTCATAGAAACCCACAGAGACCCATACTCATAAACACCCACAGAGACCCTGTACTCAGAGAGACCCATACTCATAGAGATCCACAGAGACCAATACTCATAGAAACCCCCAGAGACCCATACTCATAGAGACCCACAGAGACCCATACTTATAGAGACTCACAGAGACCCATACTCATAAACATCCACAGAGACCTGTACTCAGAGAGACCCATACTCATAGAGACCCACAGAGATTGTGATGTTCCTGGTCACGTGTATCTCCAGGAGTGGAGGTGCTGAATGATTTGCCGTCTCCTCGCACGATCAAGACTCACCTGCCCTACCAGCTGGTGCCACCCTCATTTTGGGACAACGATTGCAAGGTGGACCACCATCACCATCACCACCACCACCATCACCACCACCACCATCACCACCATCACCACCACCATCACCACCATCACCACCACCACCATCACCACCATCACCACCACCACCATCACCACCATCACCATCACCACCACCATCACCACCATCACCACCATCACCACCACCATCACCACCACCACCATCACCACCACCATCACCACCATCACCACCACCACCACCATCACCATCACCACCATCACCACCATCACCACCACCACCACCACCATCACCACCATCACCATCACCACCATCACCATCACCACCACCACGCTTAGTCTCTTGCTTGATTTTCCAGGCTGCCCTTCATTGACGGCACTATCATATTTTTTTTTAGCCAGGCCACTTCCGTGTATATTGTGTGGGTTCGAGTCTATCGAGATAAATCGAGAGCATTCGTCTGAAGCGATTCAATAGGGTTGGTCTCTCTTTAATTTTCAGACAAGCTACCATGGTAGTACACTCACAATGTGTTACAGGAGGATCCCTTTAACCCAAAGCTCACACATAAGCCAATGCGTCCCCGAACTCATATATCCGTATGGCACTTCAAGTCTTAGATGGCGTTTACCACCCGCTTTGGGCTGCATTCACAGATGTAATGCGAGCGTATTTGGGGTTTCGCCGCCCCAGCCCCTAAGCCAATCAGGCGCCACGAAGCATCGGGGGCAGGGTCTAAGTGCGGAGCCGGGGGGCGTTAAGGGAGGGGTTTTATCTGGAAAGTTCTTAAGGGGTGTGGCGAAGGGCGGAGTCTGGGTGACGTGGAAAGGGGATAGAAGCGGGAGCCGGAAGGGGCTCGGGGGAGTTAGTGGGAGCTGGAAGCTGGGCCACGTCAGGAGTCTCCGCGAGCCATCGGCCACGTGGCGACGCGGAGACGGCTCCCAGCGCACCGTCTGCCAGCGGTGCGCGGGAGCGGGGGCAGCGCGAGCGAGAGCGGAGACGCGAGAGCGGCGCGGGAGCGGGGCGTCAACTCTGCGACGTGCCGCGGAGTGACCGGGAGAGCGGAACGCGAGCTGTCCATAACGAAGAAATAAAAAGACGGAGACACAGTCGCAGCAACCCGAATCCAGGGTCAAGCTCGACCCCGCGGGTCGTGGACCACCACCGGCCTAACACCGTCGCCAGAGCAGAGGAAGCGAGCCAGGCACCTGCTCGCTCCTTCCCACCATAGCGTGGCGCTAGAGGCAGCCTCCTTGTGCTGCTCTCCCTTCACCATCTGCTGAATGTCCTTGCCCGTACCTGCTCCCCACCGGGCGTCCACTAAAATTCACGCAGGGAATGCTAATATAGACTATGGTGCATTATAAAAAGACACTTCTTCTCATATCAGCGCTCTAACCGCACAGTCCATTGTACTGCCGAGCTGCTACTTACCGCCTGAAGCTTTGCTGTCTCCTTGTACCGCTCCTCTCTCCACTGCTGGCTGGAGCCCGAGAGCAGCGATGCATGCATCTGGGGTCATCCAAACAGAAGCAGCTTGGACATGCGGTAGCTGGGCATGCGGGCTACATAACCCAGCAGCATTGCCTGCTGGAGGATCTTACTGATGGGAATGTGTCCAGATCTTTCAAGAATGTGCAGGCTTCTCACACAATCCAGCCTTGTTAAACCCAGGATGGATCGTAGGTCGGCCAGCCTGAATGTTTCTAACCGGTTCAGATGTTTCATTAGAGGGGTCCACGTTTTACAAGCATAGAGAAGGGAGGTTATGACTGTGGCCGAGAAGACCCGACGCTTCGTGTAGAGTGACAGACCAGGTAGCTTCCATTCAGCGTTATGCAGCTGATGAATATATAATGTCGCCCGACTGATTTGGAGGGAGACCTCTGGTGTCAACCTGAGCTGGCTTTAAGTGTACTTTCCAGGTATGGGAAACTCTCCTCTCTCACCACAACTGCTCCATCACCAATGGAGAGCTGAGGGTGTGGAGTGTTTAATGGCACAAAATACCCAGGCAGGTGCTTAGTTTTGGTGGGGCTGATGGTAAGACCCCATCTCTTAGTGGCACATTCCAGGCTCAGCAGGAGCACCTCCAACTCCTCCTCTGAATGAACAGCAATCACCAAATCATCAGCATACGTAACATAGTTCACCAATAGGAAGCCATCCCTCGACCACACCAGGAATCGATCAGCCTCCCATTGTATCGGTTCCAGATGGTAATTCCTCGGGTATAGCCATGTAAAGTTTCTGGAACTTCGTGGTTAAAGATGATATTTAATAATGTAGGAGCCAGAGGACATCCCTGTCGCACCCCAAGGTGAACAGGGAATGCAGTTTTAGTTTAGTGCCTCCCTGTGCCACTCTCCCCAACCCCTACATCTGCTGTCTCCTCCCCAGGTGATCTACATCGCACGTAATGCCAAGGACAACGCCGTATCCAACTTCCACTTTGGACGAATGAACAAGATGGAGCCGGAGCCCGGAACCTGGGAGGAATATCTGCATCGTTTCATGACCGGCAATGGTGAAGGCACCTGGGTTATTGCAACCACAGTCCCTGCTGGTCCCCCACTACTATACCGGTAGTGAGGAACCGAATTCATTTCACGTGGCCTGCAACTTAGTTTCAACATAACCACGCACACACATATAGGTATAAAAACAAAAATGATCTGTTTAGCCTCAACAGACCGTTGGGGCAAGTGCTGTTAGCCAGCAGCACCTATTAAGGCCGGCACGGCACACGAATGGGTGGGTAACCAGCACCACGCACGACCGCTGTTGTTTCCCTAATAGCAATGTTTCAACGCCGCACCAGGTACTAATTTTAGGCGACCTTGGAGATGCCCAGACTGGTTCAGATAATCGTCACTGGTGTTGGCCGTGAGCGGCAATAGAAAAATTGCAATCACAATGAATTCGCTGATAAGTTGAAAAATAAGTGAATAATCACTGAGTCTGCAAGAGAGCTGTTTCCACTGCCGAAACAGAAAACATAATGTAACAAAGCACAGTAGAGGTCTAAACGCTCATAAATAGGCGTTGCTGATTGGCTGCGGGCATGGCTCAGCCCCACTTACGAGCCCTTTGATTGGCCGAAAATGGCACTTGCTTGCATAACGTAAACGCATATACCATTCATAATACATGTTTTTTGGGTTTGATCGCGTAAATATATAAATGTGTCCTTAAAACCTGCCACCACCCGTCACAGCCAACTAGTAAAGGTTGTCACGTAAACAGAACGTGCCAATTGGTCACTAGTACAGCACACCGGTGTGTTGGAGAGCCAAGCCACAACTTTTACAATCTCAGTTTGACGTTTTTAACGACACATTTATATATTCTAAACCAAAAAACTTCTATTATGGAGGTTGTCACACTGTTTACCGAGGGACTACTGGACAAGTCAAATACTTTAGAGTCCTGACCAGCCACCTGACCTAGGTGTATGCAATTTATTGCCCCCTGACGTGACTTTTAATGTGTCAACACGGTCGCTCCACGTCCCCTTTCCCACAGTGTGCTTCGGCCCGTGGTATGATCACGTGACCGGGTGGTGGAACGTGAGGGAGCAGCACCGGATTCTCTACCTCTTCTACGAGGACATGAAGGAAGTAAGGTCGCAAAGCAATCTGGGACATAAGTAGCACGGCTCTCAGACTTAAAAACGACTTTTAAAAATATGGATCAAAATAGAGGTTTGTCTTTTTTTGGGATAGATCGCCTAGATATAAATGTCAGTAAACTCTCCACCACCCGACACAGCCAATTAGTAGTTACTAGTTCAGCACGCCGTTGTGTTGGAGAGTAAACCCACGACATTTACAATATTGATGTACGGTGGACATGGCCTGAGTCAGAACCAAGGCAAAGTGGTCATCTTAGCCAATGCCACCACATTTCACTTTTTTTTCTTATTATGATCCAACAAAAACATTCAGAGGTCTGTGTGGAGGGAATTGTAGTGTGGGCTGAAATCAGTTGACATCACAAGCATGAGTTGATGAATGCATACATTAAGTATGTATTGTGAGTATGAATTTATTATGTACCGTGGGGAGCGGTAGTGCAGCGGTTAGCGCACTACGCTATGAACCCCAGCCGACCGAGTTGGATTCCCGCTCACGGCCAACACCAGTGACAATTATTTGAATCAGTCCTGGGCCTCCCCTAGGTCGACTCAGCCTCAAAATGAGTACCTGGTGCGATGTGTAGTAAACCTCGCCACTCAGGGAGACAATGGCGGACGAGCGTGGTGGCCTCCCACCCCCTCGTGAGCTGTGCCAGCCTTCATAGGTGTCACTCGCGAACAGCAACTTAGCCCAACAGTTTGTTAACGCTATACGGGGATCTTTCTCTTTGTTTTTTTGTGTTGTGATGGGGCAGCAGTCCACAGGGCAAATGCCCTGGTGGGGCCGCTCAATTATGATCAGATTAGTATTCGGCAGCCCCACCAAAGATGTTTCCGCACTGGCGGCCCCACCCATTAGTTTTTTTTTGGACCTCTTCCCAAATGGGACCAATGAGAACCGCCACAGACAATTTGGGGCTGGCTGTGTGTCTTTATAAAAAGCCTAGAGACCCAAGTTGTTTAGTCCCTTAGCCTCGTCACTGATTGTGAGCGTAAAGCTCTTGCCACCTCCTCTTTCCCCCTTGTGTGTGCTGAGGACCCCATGCGTGAGGTGTCCCGCATCGCCGACTTCCTGGAGCGGCCACTGTCCGAGCAGCAGCTGCGTGAGGTGGTGAAGCTCAGCACCTTCACCATGATGCGCGACAACCCCATGACGAACTACACCACCTTGCCCACCGAGTGCTTGGACCACTCCGTGTCACCCTTCATGCGCAAGGGTAAAGATCACAAGGTTTTTTGGAGGCTCAGTTGGGGCACATGGTGATAATAATGAAGGTGGTGGTAGGATGGGGATGATCTTCATACCAGCGGTGTCAAGACCGGCCTCAGTGGAGCAGGAGGCTCGTGAATGCCGCTCCTGGGCAGTTGGAGGCAGTTGCCTCCAACTTTCCAACGGAGGGCAGAGGAGCGACGCTCACAACAATGAGCGGAGCACCGGGTGGCTAAAACACAGCAAGTTTGCACAGTAGAGGGCATAGGTGGTAGATCTTCCAGTCATCTAAATCGGTCCACCTATGGCACCTAGGTCTGTCACGTGACCTCCTGCCAGTGGGCATTCGACACTTCACGTGGCATTAAAAGTGCACGTAGCCTGGCACAATCGCCGTGGTGATGTCACCATCACTTAGTGGTGAGTGGCGGTTGTTGATGGTGATGATATTGAGACAACCCCATGACGAATTACAGCACCCTGCCCCGGCTACCCGAGTTCGATTCCGGCTCACAGCCAACATTGGTGATGATAATCTGAACTGACCCTGGGCCTCCCCAAAGTCGACAAAGCTGTCGAGCGTGATGATGAACTCCCATTGCCTCGTGTGTCTTCATAGGTGCTCGCTAACAGCCCTTACCCCAACAGTTTGTTAAGGCTATACGGGGAATCTTTGTCCTTGTTTTGTCTTTGCAGGGGAGGTGGGTGACTGGAGGAATCACTTCTCTGCTGCTCAGCTGGAGGCCTTTGAGCAGGACTACAAAGAGAAAATGGCCGGCACTGACCTGCGCCTGAGGGACAGCCTGCCCTGAAGGCCCGCTTCTCTCCCTCTGCTCCTGACTGTATCCATTATCTTAATTGGCTTTAAGTAATGATAATAATACTAATTTCACAATATATAGCGTCATTCATGCTCATTGCATTCCAAAATACTGTACAATAATTGTGTCCAGAATTGCATTTAGGGCTGAATCCTCCAGGTAATAATAATGTCGGGTTACCACTCTCTGAGTTACAAAAAATTCGAGACATATCATGGGGACGAAGGCAATCTCACAATTCCAGGAGCGGTGAGAAATTCACGTCAATACCTTTCTCGAGCTGCGCAATATACGTAATATGAAATTGACTTGAAAGTATAATTGATCATCGATTATGCGGCGCACGATTATCCGGTTTCCAATATTACCTGGTGGTATCGGGCCAATTCGGCGAAACCGGTAAAACAGCTGCAAAGGCTGTACCAGTCCTGCGATGGTCAAACAAAATCAAATTTTTGTTGAAACAAGAGCGTAGTACTACGTACATCACCCCATTCACAGTCTTCCAGATTGGAGTGGTAAGGTACGGTAAACACAGTACATTTTACAGTTGGATATTTTGGGTTACACTTGAAAAAAATTGTATTTTATTTTATTTGGTTTGTATCTGATTTAATCTGAGATTAGTTTTACCTGGCTTTCCTATTCACTTTTGGTTCATCTGGGTATCATCTGGAATTGATTCATTTGTATCTGGCATGGTTGTATCTGCTATGTTACGGACTTAAGCACAAAGAGATTGAAATAAATGTAACTTCACTCAAGTCACTGGTGCCAGGTTCATAATCGGACAATAACCACGGTGGTTGCCACAATACAACAATAGCACGAGTTCACTATCTGGTGGTAAAGCATAAAAGCGGTTTGAGTGAAACGTCATTGCATGATGATGTCAAATTCAGTCACGAAATATGAAAACATCGGATCAGGGGCTTTATTGATCATGATCTGATCAGCAGATTGGCACGTAAAAATAATATATATTTGTAAACGTAATAATCGCTGTCAAGTAGTGTAGGAATAATGTGGAATTTTTTTGCATTCCACTCCTACTGCAAGGCTATGAAAACCTATGTTCTAAGTGTACATGTTTTATTTTTCGATTTAAAGCTTTCGTGACTGCAGGGATTCATCTTCTTGGTTCTTTCGGTAAAGTCACGTAGAAGGGAAATAATAAAATAAGAAAAATAAAAGATAATAAAATACAATTCTCACGACGTTTCGGCCACAACGCAAGCAGCCGTCCTCTTCTCGACAGACCTGTTCTTCACCTGAGGACGGCTGCTTGCGCTGTGGCCGAAACGTCGTGAGAATTATTTTATTATGTTTTATTTTTATTATTTTATTATTTCCATTCTACGTGACTTTACCGAAAGAACCAATAAGATGTACATGTTTTGCTTGTGAAATTAATGATACAGCTCCGGTGCAGCATTCGTCGTCCATCCGCTCCACCGGTCAGCACTTGCACTCCGCTGCCGTCTTTTACACGACGGGTTCCAGCTTTCTTGAAATTAAGCAGCGAAGGATCGATGGCCACTTCCGTCACCAATTGTAGTGTAGTAACTCTTGACACCCAGGAGACTTGTAGAGCCAGACGGAGACAAGGATTCTTACATAGGGCTGCTTGCCGTTCATTCACACTCTGACACACTCTGTTTACACTCTCTACACTCGACGCTTACACCCGTCATGGCGCACGTCAGAACTCTCTACGCGAACATTCCTCAGCCATCTATGCTCCGGTACGGCTTTCCCTATGTCTATCACCTCGTCTGCCCCGGGCGGGGGGGCTCACCCATCACCGCCCAGTGATGAGGTGAGACCTCTACATCTCTAGCCCTTCTTCGGCGGTGGCTGGGATGTCTTCCATGCAGGGTCTCGTTCCCATCTTCTCTCACTCCCCTATGGCGACTACCTCACTCTCCCCACGGTGACCTCGCCCTCGTCCCGGGGTCCCCCTTAAGTACCCCGCCGCCTCGATGACATGACATCATCACATCACGTCAACCCACTCCTCTACAGATGACATGACGTCATCCCACTACTCCTCTACACAGATATTCAACAAAGTAGTGCTTTTAGTCAACGAAGACTGAGTGAGATACAGATCATCAAACGTTATGATGACAGCGACAACTTCCCAAAAAGACAAATACAAAGATCACCCGTGTTGAGGCAAGTGTTGTTAGCGAGTAGCAACTATGTTGAGCCATAAATCACCGGGCTAGGGGTCCCTGTGTTGGCGACGGAGGGGCAAGCGGAATATGGGAGACGTTGTTTATGAGTCGCTCTCACTCTCTGTTAATGCTGGGACCGCCATTCCACACCACAATAAACAAAGATTTTTAGTTCTAGATTTGAAGGTTTCGTGACTGCAAGGATCCATACTCTTTGGTTTTTTCGGTAAAGTCGCGTAGGTGAAAAATAAAATAAACAAAAAAATGAAAAAAAAATTTAAACAACTAAATTTAGTTTAGTTACTTAATTTTTACCTGTGCGACTTTACTGAAAAAACCAAAGAGTAAAGATTTTTAGGCCAAGTCGCTGCAAGTTGGAGGGCTGACTCTGTGTTTTCCTCAAGTACGCGGTTCAATGTTGATCGAATACATGGCGGTCCCCAATCCCGTGGGAATGACCACTTCTCACTGGGAATAACTCAAAAGCTGATTGACAGTTGGCAGGCCACTGAGTGCGGCAGGGAGGGGTGGAATGGGACATTCGGAGTCACATGATTGGCACTGGCGAATCCCGTATGACCCCACCACAATCGGTAGTGCATCAGGGATCTAGGGCCCAGAGCAGAGGTCGCAAACGGGTTTTGATTCCTTACCCGTACCCGGCCGCACCAGGGTCGCAAACGGGTACCCGTACCTGTACCCTACCCGATACCCGGCCGGGTATCGGGTAGGGTACGGGTACCCGATTGCAACCTCTGAGATGAAGCCATGTTGCAGGCGCGGGTGGGTTGATTCTAGGAACTTGAATTGTGAGAAGAGACAAGACGTTGGGAAATGAGGAGTGACAAACGGTTACTCACCAGTGACTCACGGCCTACCCGTACCTGTACCCGGCCGCACCAGGGTCGCAAACGGGTACCCGTACCCGTTCCCGGCTGGGTACGGATAGCCGGGTATTGGGTACCCGATTGCGACCTCTGGCCCAAAGTGGGCATAAACCAGGAAGGGGGGTGCAGAGTACATAAGCGGGTTAGTCTGGAGGAGGGCACGCTGGAGAGTGGACGTGGGTAGACGAATGGGAAGTCGTAACCTTCTGAGTTCGAGTGCTACAGCACTGTGCAAACGAGCTAGAATCACTCCATAATGTTGCTCTATGTCCAGCCAAACCCGAGGTGAGAGATTACATATTACACAGTGAGTGTAGTCTTGGTACAAAATACCTACGTGACTTTACCGAAAGAAGCAAAGAGTATGGATTCCTGCAGTCACGAAAGCTTCAAATCAAGATTGTCGTCTTGGTCTTCATATTGTTGGTGGTCCGTTGTGGGTGTGCAAGTGACTGCTGTTGTTAGGCAGGTAGCTAACTCTATGAGAGGGACTATGTGACTAAGTGCAAACAGAAAATCCAAGAAAAGACAGCAAAATATTGCAGAAAAAGCACCGTACACCAACACTGTGTGCAAAAATCCCAGTGGGATGCAAGTCAAACAACAACAACCACAAGACAACTTAGATTAAGGTAAAGATCCACCAGAGGAAGTGGGCCTGTCGAGTTCGTATGGAGGCCCGGCAGCGTGGTAGAGGGTCCCACGATGCGCCCCCGGAGGAGTTGCAAGCGGAAACAGAGCGATGGCTCACGAGGGCCTGAGAGGCAGGAGTTGCCGTTGGGCGAGCACCCACTGTTCCGGCAAGGCCTTGGGTGCAGTCAGACCGCCAATTCCCCCACCCTGATCACGTGCACTTCACATTGCGTGACACTCCGATTAGCACAGTGCGATAAAAGCTCAACATACATCGACTCGCACAGAGACCCATAGTATGTTGTTCTTCCCCTGCACCTCCGAGTGGAGAAGATGGCAACCTTCCTGTGGTCTCCACTGTTACGTGCTTGTCAAAAACTAATGTTATTATCCCAGTGATCGAATGCCCGAAAAGGGCCTCCGGATCAGGATTGCAACACTAAAGATCCTTTTCAGGGCCAAAATTACCACAATGTGGGGCCATCACTACGTTTGTGCCATCTGTAGATCGACCTGTAAACCAAGAGCTTTGTTCGAGAACTCAGCTCCAGCTTCACTACCACCGAACGGTATAGTGCCCAAAACACTGCAGGCGAAGCACCAATTTACCAGCCGATCTTCTGCTCCCACGTAATATCACTCACAAAAGAGACCCCGGGATACTGAAACTCCTCTACACTTCCCCCCTCACCTGGAGATTACAATTCACCATCTCCTGGGAGTGAACCATGACCTCAGATTTGGAGGTGCTGATCCTTATCCCAGCCGTTTCACAAGAGGCATCAAACTGTTCAAGTGCCTGCTGGAAATTACAGACTGGCGAGGCGAAAGGACAATATTATTTGCAAAAAGAAACGACGCCACATCCATGCCCCCATACTGGATACTCTCCATACCTTGGTTGTGTGTTGATATCCTGTCCATGAAAATCACAAACAGGAGTGGAGACAAGACATATCTTTGGTTGAGTCTAACACCCACAGTGAACGACTCTGATTTAACACAAAGAATACGGACACAGCTTTTACTCTGAGAATAGAGGGGACCGGATAGCATACAAAAGCGGCACCAGTACATCATACGCCCACAGCACCTCCAATAAAATATTGTGGGAAACACGGTCATGTGCTTTTGCTGCACACTCGAAATGAAGGACGTGGGCAGGCGTTCCAAATCGAGGGCAGACACATTTATTGTGGTTACTATTAATCTTGTGAAGAACAGCACCGTCACTCTGTAAAATGCAACAGCACGTGTGTTACAAACAGCATTCCTCCCGAGTCGCCATTAACCATGTGGCTGGTGTCCAAGTCCGGTTAATCATTAACAGTTTTCTCTTAAACCCAATTCTACTACTGCTAAACCATCTTTGTCTTTGACAATCACATTTGCACATCACTATTCGAATATTCATTTAACCCTAAGCTGTATGTCTATCTATACCATCCGATTATATCGGTATCTTACACCCATTATATGTACTGTATGTGTACAGTATACGTACTGTATATCACCATTGTATAGCTTACTACTTTACATGTCTCAATAGCATTGCAAGTAGTTATACTCTGGGTACATGGGCATGGTTATAGACTAAACAGTATTAGAGTTAGACAATTACAATGACAGTAGGTAATTACAGTGCGTCATCCCTTTACAATGCACAGTGCTAAAACCCCTCTAATTGCATATATCACAAACAAACAATTCAAAGCCAAGCTTAACGTCTATAACAAGTCTAGAACAAGTCTAGAACATTTATATAACGATCAAAAACAACCTTTGGGTCCTTTACCTGTAAAATGCAACAGCACGTGTTACAAACAGCATTGCTCCAGAGTCGTCATTAACCATGTGACTGGTATATCCGCGTGGTCATTCAATAACCCTGCCAGCCACCTACAGGCCCAACTCAGTCACCACATGCTGCTGTACACACATGCATTGATGCACTGCACAGCACATCAGGACTGTCACAGAACCACACCTTACTCCCTTGCTGCACAAGGACATAATTAAAAGAGTGATCCATTCCTAATGTGGGACACTTTCTCCAAGTCAAAA